AGCCTCCCAAAGTGCTGGGATTGCAGATGTAAGCCACCATGACAAAACCCCTATTTGCTTTTTGATCTCTGTCAAAATACCCAACCTTTTTGAGCTTCGATTTCCTATATTTTTAAAATAGTAATATCAATTTCTACTTCATAGCCTGTTTTAAATAAATCAGAAAGCACATAAAAGCACTTTACAGGCTGGGCACGGTGGCTCACACTTGTAATCCCACCATTTTGGGGAGCCGAGGCAGGTGGATCACTTGAGGTCAGGAGTTTGAGACCAGCCTGGCCAACGTGGTGAAACCCCATCTGTACAAAAAAACAAAACAAAACAAAAACAAACAAACAAAAATTAGCTGAGTGTGGTGGTGGGCGCCTGTAGTTCCAGCTACTCCGGAGGCTGAGACACGAGAATCGCTTGTATCCGGGAGGTGGAGGTTGCAGCAAGCTGAGATTGTGCAACTGCACTCTAGCCTGGGTGATGGAGCAAGACTCCATCTCAGAAAAAATAAAAAAGAAAAGAAAAGAAAAAGCGCTTAATATAATGCCTGGCACACGCTCTGAAAAATATTTTATATATATGGTAATATTACCATTGGGGGAACTGGTGTGAAGGGGACATAGGATATCCTGGCACATCATTTGAAACTTCATGTAAATCTATAATTGTTTCTAAATAAAAAGTTAGAAAATGTATTAGCTATCTAGTCTGGGAATTGTGTTGTGTCATTGTGCTAATATTTTTCTCACCAAAGGAAGGAACCAAGGACCAGAGACACAAGCAATTTGTTACAAAGAGTTACAGAGAAGTGAAATGAGAATGGAAGTAATTTCTTCTGAATCATATTACCATAGAGCAGCCTTAGTGTGAAGGGAGCTTAGAATTAGGGCAGTTAACCACTGAACTTATCTGGGTTTGAATATGTGGTTTGCTATGATTTATTTCCTGGTTCAACTTGACTCATTCATTCAGATTCAGAATAATAAATATTTAAATGTTTAAAATAATAAGCATCTAAAATGATAAGCATTTCCTCCCCATGTACTCTGTGCTAGGCATTGTGGAAGCCTCTCCCATATTGCTTTGAATGCGATTGCAACTAAAGGTTTCTGAATTCTAAGAGAAAGGCACAAAGGAAATTTACTACTGCCATTTAGTGCTCACTGTTTAAACATCTTTGTTTTCTCTTAATGAAATTAAAATGTGTGGAACAAATTGTATAGGATGTAGTACCTCCTCAGTGGGGAATTCTTTTGCCTCTACTAACCTGGAGCACTGGGAAGAGCACGGGAGTAGCGAACACAGTGGATAAGAAAAAGAGGGTTTATTTTCCTTTATACTCAGTTTACAGTAGTGATTCCAGCAGGATGCACTATTTTGTTCAGAAAAAGCTGATGCGAAGAAGCTTGGAGCTGTGGCTGATGACCTTGGGACAGAGTTGAGGTTCTGTTGCATTCTTGGGGCAGTGTTCAGCTCCTGTAAATGCAGAAATAACAGCCCTGAATCAGGGTAACTCTGGATAGAGCTCAGTTCTGTAGGGATTTTTCCCTTTCCCTCCCTCCCTCCCTCCCTCCCTCCCTTCCTTCCTCTCTTAGGTCAGTGTGAGAATATGTCTCTTTAGCTGACGTGAATAAAGAGATCAAATATCTTTGAGAAACTATGAAAGTTCTAGGAAAGGCTAAGGCTTCACATTCAGAATGTCACCTTTACAGGGAGCTTTAAAGGGAGATAGAAGCAGCATAGAGCGGAGGACATGTAAAATTTCACAAATATTTACCTTTATACAATTTTTTTTGTTGTTTTTTTTGAGATGGAGTCTCACTCTGTCGCCCAGGCCGGAGTGCAGTGGCGCGATCTCGGCTCACTGCAAGCTCCACTTCCTGGGTTCACGCCATTCTCCTGCCTCGGCCTCCCGAGTAACTGGGACTACAGGTGCCTTCCCAGCTAATTTTTTTGTATTTTTAGTAAAGACTGGGTTTCACTGTGTTAGCCAGGATGGTCTCAATCTCCTGACCTCGTGATCTGTCTGCTTCGGCCTATCAAAGTGCTGGGATTACAGGTGTGAGCCACTGCGCCCGGCCTTACCTTTGTACAATTTATAGAAATGTATAAGAGGCTTTAGGTAAGAGACTGGCAATTAATTTTTTTAATTGTTCTTTTTCTCTTTTTTGTGAGACAGAGTGTCACTCTGTGTCCCAGACTGGAGTGCAATGGCGTGATCTCGGCTCACTGCAACCTCTACCTCCTGGGTTCAAGTGATGCTCCTGCCTCAGCCTCCCTAGTAGCTGGGATTACAGGCATATGCCACTACGCCCAACTAATTTTTTGTATTTTTAGTAGAGATGGGGTTTCGTCGTGTTAGCCAGGCTGGTCTCAAACTCCCAACCCCAGGTGATCCACCCACCTCCGCCTCCCAAAGTGCTGGGATTACAGGCGTGAGCCACCACACACAGCCTAAAAATTGTTCTTATTTGAAAATGAGTCTATGAGGGACATTTTGTCAACCTGGTTTCCAAAAAAGAGATGAATGAAATGAATGGTAAGAATCTGTTTAATGTGCTCATTTCAGCAGCACATGTACTAAAATTAGACTGATACAGAGAAGATTAGCATGGCCCCTGCGCAAAGATGACACACAAATTCATGAAGCAGTTCATTAAAAAAAGTAAAGAAATATTTGTTCAAAAATCATTTTTAATTACATAAGTATTTCTCCATTTTTCAGATTGTATAATAAATAATAGGTCTGTCTTTATATACTTTCAGTTTCAGGAATGATAATTCTGAAGAAAAAAGTGAATGGTTCATCACCGATACAAAAATTAACAAACATGATAGTGGCTAGCAACGTCAGGTAGGTTTTATTTATTAGCAATGTTTTCCCCACGATTTTTTTTAATGTTTATTTGTGGTTGAAAAGCCAAACACATTAATTTCCAAGACTCATTGGCTGCTAAGAAAAATTGTCACTGTGGCCAGGTGCAGTGGCTCCTGCCTATAACCCCAGCACTTTGGGAGGCTGAGGTGGGCAGATTTACCTGAGCCCAGGAGTTTGAGACCAGCCTGGACAACATGGCAAAACCATGTCTCTACAAAAAAATACCAAAATTAGCTGGGTGTGGTGGCGCCCACCTGTAGTCCTAGCTACTCAGGGGGCTGAGGTGGGAGGATTGCTAGAGCCTGGGAGGTGGAGGGTGCAGTGAGCTAAGACTGCACCACTGCACTCCAGCCTGGGTGACAGAGCAAGACCCTGTCTCAAAAACAAACAAAAACCCTTTAATTATCATTTGGAAGAGGACTTATTCTTTAAAATGCAGGCCTTAGTACTTACATAGTTGGATGATGCTTTTAGAAAAATGACTTGGGGGACACTCCTCCTATATTTTACACATTTCAGTGGCAGAACAGGATAACAGTTCAGACCTCCTGTGTGCTCTGACCATGGACAACACACAGCTCTGTCATCCTCAAGCTGCACTGTAAGTGAAGCTGGGGTAACGGTATGTAGAACAATGATTGGTATTATTTGTTTAAATATTATTTCTTGTAAGAAGGCAACAGAGTGCAGTTTGTAAATACCGGTTTAAAAACTCCTTTCTTTTAGAAAGGAGAATGAGAGAAAGTGAAATATAAAAAACACATACTTGTGCTGAACCATGAATGACACCGTCACAGAAATATCTAAAAACCATACTGCTTAAAGGCACTTGTTGCAATGTGTAATTCAGCTAAGATGATAATCAAATGCATAGCTCTTGAATACAGAAAAATGATACAAATCCTCCTCCTTTGCTGCCCTTCCCACAGAATACTGAGATAAAACTTATTGAGGCCTAGCTACCAAAGGCAGAATTAGTTGTTCCATATCCTAGGCTAGCATTTGGTACATAGCCCCTATTTTATCATGATTACTGAGAACTGTTAAGTCTAACTCGACTGTGTAGATCAAGACAGTTTTATCTTAGTGCATCCAGTGGCTGAAGCACAGTTGGCACTCTGTAGATTTTGTGTTGTTGCAGTGAGATCACCAGTTACTATAAAGAGCTGATTTGGGCTGGGTTTGGTGGCTCACACCTGTAATCCTGGCACTTTGGGAGACCAAGGCCAGAGGATTGCTTGAGGCCAGGAGTTCAAGACCTGCCTGGGCAACATAGTAGAACCACATCCCTACAAAAATTTTAAAAATAAATTAGCCAGGTGGAGTGGCCCGCACCTGTAGTTCTAGTTACCTGGGAGGCTGAGATGGGAGGATCTCTCGAGGCCAGGAGTTCGAGGTTACAGTGAGTCATGATTGTGCCACTGTACTCCAGCCTGGGCTACAAGGCAAGACTTCGGCTCTAAAAAAAAATTTGTTTTTTAATGGAAAAAAGAGCTGATTTGGCTCTTTCTTCCCCCATTTACCCAGAATTGCTTAAGTGGTAGATACTGACAAGGTATCTCAGCAGGGCAGAATTCTCATGGTTTGAGTCAGTCGGGACCAATTTATGTTGATGTGAATTTCTAACTCCTTTGTCATTCTGAGTGTGTCAGCTGAATTCACGTAAGGGCATTCATCAAGGAAGGAAGAGAAACAGCCTTTAGTTTTAACTATTTTATAGCTGAGAAAATTAGACACATACTCCGAGTTACGGGGTCTATTCTGATTTTTATTACTCCTAGAAATTTCATACAGACTATAATCTATCTTGTTAGTAATATCTGATAGGGAATTTTTTGGAATAGCTATGTGTAGAAACTATTTTATTACACAGATTTAGGAATCTCAGAGGATCTGATTCCTTCGTCTCTAAATCGTCAATGGCATTAAATGCCAATACATTGTCCTTGGTCAAGATTACAACGCAGAAAGGAACAAGCTAATTAACTATTTAGAATTCCCTCTCCTAAGAGACCACATCGACAAAGTGGCACCATAACACAGTTTGGTGTTTTGTTGATCACTTTAGGATACCACCACCATTTTGGAGGCTTTGGGTGGAGCTGGGGATAAAGCCATGGAGGCAGAACCGTGTCGGAAAACCTGGGTTTAGCCCCACTTTGTACTTGGGTGTTTGAGCTAATCGCTTAAGTCACGTAAAACAACAAGACTAATAAAGTCGGGGACACAGACTTTAACACCTCAAGTGCTGCCAAAAGTATTTAAAAGACAAAAGCGAATCACAGGCACCCTTCACCGAGCACCTCCTAGACATCAAGAACCGTGCTAGGTTCCCTACATTCTTCATTTAATGCCAATAACCCCACGAGGCAGGTATCACCTTCATTCTACAAATGGGCCCCACTCCTGCCAACTAACTGGCTGATTCGGGATCTGACCCCAGGCCTGCCAACGCTCCCGCTGGCGGACTGCCCGCCTTGTCAGCTCGAGTTAGCAGGACGTGGGAGTAAAAACCCGGCGCCCCAGCCTTCACCGTGCTGCACGAGGAAGCTGGCTAGGCAGGCATGACTTTGTCAGTCAACCACCCCGCAGCCGGGCCCTGGGCTTTGTTAGCAGCCACTTGGCGAGGGCCCCGGGCGGGTGGGGAGGCGGCGCTTCCTCCAAGAGGAGGTGGGACCCCGGCTCCGCCGACCTCGG